GCATCCAAAGCGCAGCCTGAGGGAAGCTCGGAGTCATGGTGTATGGGCGACGTGCGCGAGGTGCTTACTTTGCTTTCATCTGGTTGTGTGACTGCTCGAGCGAGTAGACCTTGCCGCGAATCAACTCAATCTCTTGGATGTGACGCGTGACTGCGAAGACTAGTTAGCAGCTGTGAGCTCGATGCGACAAAAGACAGTCGAGGCCATGCGCAGAAAGTTTGCTCGCCCGGTCCTTGGATACCGCACGGCAACTGCTTCCCTTCGCGGCTGGATAGCATGTGCAAGACTCACTTTGGCCTTCGGCATCGACACTGCGCTGGGATTCGGCTTCGAACTCGGTCTTGATGTTGTCGAGCAGCTCGTTGAGGCGCTGGGCTGGGCCCGTCTGGGGAGGCATGACCGCCCGGGGAGGGTAGTGGTTCATGCTGGCGGCGGGGTCGCGCGTCCGGGAGAGGGTGCGAAGATGGGCTGGCCGTCTGCTTCGCGTTGTGCGCTATTGAGACGCGAGCAACAGGGCGCGGTATGCGACGACGTCGGGTGGGAGCCTGGCGGTCGCAAGGCTGTGGGCGCACAGCTGGCACGAGCTATCTGGGCTGGTACACGTCTACGGGGCCGGCCCTCTGGTGGGCGCGACGGGTGTCGGATGGATAAACGGTGGATGGGGGCAGATAGGGATGCAAACGGGTGAGATGGTGTCGTGGCTGTGAGATCGCTGAGGTTTGAGCGCAAGATGGGTGGGTCGCCGTGGTTGGTGCTTTTGCTTGGCTTGCACGGAGGAAGAGGCGTTTCAAATCCGGCAGGCGGGAAACATGGCCATCTGGAGCGCTTGCGCCGACATGGCACCAGTTCCGCTACGACTCTCTGTTCCCAGGACGTCGACATCGGCATGTGCATCCACGATACTCTCTTTTCCACCCCTAAACTTGCATGACTCCGCCCAAGACTTTCGACAGCATCCCTTCTCCCATCCGCGTCGCTCGCTCCGCTCCACCCCATCCAGCCGGACCCTTGTGCTTGCTCGCGCTAGTGCTGCCGTTCCCGCCGCGCTACACTGCATTGAGCCAAGCTGCATATCGCACGTGTTTGTCCTCTTTCGGCCGCGATCGCTTTTCTTTCCCACCTTACATCAGCACTCACATTCGTACACTCAGGCGGCCTTGTCTCTACAATGACTTGCCACCCCCACGATGCTTTCTTCTTCGTTCAGCGATAGCGGGACTATCAGGCCTAGTCCACGTAGCGGCTGCGCTTGAGTAATTGAACTACACGGAAAAAGTGTTGCATGCGCATACGGGCTAGTGATCGTGGCATGAGCATCACGATGTGTTCTAGCCAGTTGTGCGTCTGTTTCATTGCAAGTGTCCTCGGAAGATCGACTCTGCATACATCGTTCGGTGTTTTTGTGGCTTCCAGAGTCATGCAACTTGTTAGAGCCCGAGACTAGTTTTCGTCTTCAATGTTGCATTCCTCCTTCTGCCCGCAGCACCACTTGTTCACACTGAACAACGTCGTCCCCCATTTCTGGCTTACGAGCAGCGCTGGTTTCACATATAATCACGATGGTTACACGACTACACGACGCGTTTGGCGGCTGAATTATACCCATGGCACGGGGCCACTCGATCACCCCCGCGCTGCCGGTGGTACCATGTCTGATTCGCCCCAGACAGCCACAGAAAACTCGTTCATGTCAAACGACGCACTCATCCACTGCATCGAGAACAACACGGCAGATCCAGCATCACGGTCCTCCTCGTCGTTGTGGCCATTGTGTCATGGCTACCCGACGAAACCGTAGCTGCTAGCCCTTCCATTCGTAGTTACGACGCGTGGGAAGTCCCTAGCGCTGTCGCGTAAGCCATCTCGTGCGGAATGCTCACCTCACCAGATCTCGTCCCGCAACCAGGACTATCGTCGTATCACGCCATTCTCCCGTGTATTTCCCTTTGCCTGCTGGCTGCCACGCCTAACACGCCTTGTGATCTTCCGCCTTCCTAGTCACCGCTTCCAACAGCCAACGCCATGCGTTCCTTCAATGCGCGCCTGTCACTCACTGGCCGCCATCAATCGCCACTTATACCCGGTGTGATGTTCATGATGCGCTTAGCATGCACGCAATCGCCATGAATGCTTCAATGGCTGTGGCAATCACCGCCTACTGCATTGTGAAGCCCCCATGCTCGCCATATAAGCTGCCTACCTGCTTCTTTCCAATACAAATCGACATTCCTCCTCCTCATACATTACTATTGATTGCTATTTGCTATCAATTAACTAATCACTACCTCAACTATCATCTACCGTTCTGTTCAGACGCCCCCCGACATTAGTGTTCATCATGTCGCTACAGGGTGATGAGATTGCCGAGCAGCGGCCCACTTACCGACGTCTAGCGACTGCCGAGCGACGTCAGATCAGCATTGGGGCGTTCAAGTCCTCGGATTCACTCTACAAACTCAAGGAACAGAAGGGTACTCTTGAGGCTGCTGTCGAGGTCAGTACTACCATTCTTCAATTGCAAACCTTTTGATTAACATGTGGACATGGCAGCCCCTTTACGCAGGCTTTGCTGTCGCTCAGTCTGACGATGGCGACTTTCGCTACTGCATTGCGTTGCATGATGGAACCTACACCATTAACTGCGAGAGCAAATCTCTGGAGCTGTCCGGAGACGCAGGCGGAGGCAACTCATCGAACGAATCATCGCGAGTTGGATCAGGGGTCTCCACACCCATGTCTGTAGGAGATGTTTCCGAAGCTCTGTCAAAAGCCTTCATCGGATTTCTCAACGACTACCGCGAGGAGAATCTTTCCAAGCCCATGGGTGCTACTCTGACCACACAACTGGCTACCTTGAGTCCACACCTGGCCGTACGCCTATGGACTGAACTAGACATCATACCATTCATCTTTCCGGCCGACGCTAAAGAGAAGGAAGAGCCATCGATACCCCTAGATCAAGAAGCCGAACGCATGGCGAGAAAGACAGTGAAGCAATTCAACGTCAAGGGTGAGTTACCCGTTCAGATGGGTCATCGTCGTCAGGTTTTGGTTGATCTCGACAACCACGTGCACATCGCCGAGCGCGAAAGCTACGATTCTACTGTCAGGATGGACACTACAGGAGCTGCAACGATGCATTACGCCAATTCGCTCAAGAAGAGAAGGACCAAGATTGCCTTCTTCAACAGCACAGCACAAGGCGGAGGTGTCGCTCTCATGAGGCACGCTCTGATGAGATATCTGGCTCTTCTCGGTGTCGACTGCAAATGGTACGTTCCATACGGAAAGACCAACATCTTCAGGATCACCAAAGACAACCATAATATTCTTCAGGGTGTCGCCACAGCAGGCGAGCGTTTGACCGAGGAAAAAATGGCCGATCTTGATGACTGGGTCATCGAAGAGGCTGACAAGTGTCGTTGGGTCGAGCACGGCGGCCCGCTCTCATCTCGCGAGAAGGGTGGTGCCGACGTGATCATTGTCGATGATCCTCAGATGCCGAGCCTTGTCAAGATTGCGAAGGAGCGAGACTCCAGGTATGTACTCCCGAATTGCTTACTAACTGATCCAAGATGCTTTTTATACTAACTCTATCCTCTAGTCGCCCAGTCATTTTTCGCAGCCACATCCAGGTCCGAGCTGACCTCGCTGACCAAGCAGATACCGCTACCTCCGAGGTATGGAACTGGATCTGGAACCACGTCAAAGATTGTGATGTCTTCGTCAGCCATCCCGTGCGAGCATTCGTACCCGAGGTTGTAACACCAGAGAAAGTAGGCTACCTGCCTGCCACTACTGATTGGTTAGATGGCCTGAACAAGCACATGCACCCCTGGGACGAGCAGTATTACATCCACGAGCTCAAGGTCCAGTGCTTTTCAGCTGGTATGCGTCAGCTCGCTCATCCGGATCGCAAATACATCGTTCAAATCGCTCGCTTCGACCCAGCGAAGGGCATCCCAGATGTACTCGCATCATACGCACTCTTTCGCAAGGTGTACATGAAAGACACGCCCCTCGTAGACATCCCCCAGCTCGTCATAGCTGGCCATGGTGCCGTCGACGATCCAGATGCTACACGCATCTTCAAGGAAACCGAGACCGCTCTCAACGGGGAGTTCAACGAGTTCAAGGACGACGTCATCATCATGCGTATCGGACCATCCGACCAGATGCTCAACGCACTCATGTCCTGTGCTCACGTCGCCCTCCAGCTCTCCACCCGTGAAGGCTTCGAAGTCAAGGTCAGCGAAGCGCTCCACAAGGGCACACCTATCATCGCTACTCTCGCTGGCGGTATCCCTCTGCAGGTCCAGGATGGAAAGTCCGGCTTCCTGGTCAAGCCTGGTGATCACGACGCTGTTGCCAAGCACTTGTTTGATCTCTTCACCGATTCCGAACTTCACTCGACTATGTCGGAGTATGCGAGTAAGCATGTTAGCGACGAGGTCAGCACCGTGGGCAATGCGCTGGCTTGGCTGTATCTGGCCGATGAGTTATCCAAGGGGGAGCATGTCGCACCTGACGGCCGATGGATCAACGATATGGCGAGGGAGAAGGCGGGTATTCCATATCAGAAGGATGAGGATATCTTGGTGCGCAATGTGAGCTTGACGAACTAATTGCGAGTGTCTTCGGGTTGCGCTATGAATGGGCGATGAGCACGATGGGCATACCATGTAATGCTCTCGTCTGAGACTGTGATGATAATCACAAATTCACGGTTTTTGTTCTACGAGGTTATGCTGGTTGTGTAGCAAAGTGTGGATGCTTCTAGGAATAAACATTACATTATCAATCATGACCCCACAGGCAGCTACTGACTTGATTGCGAGATTTCATCCGATACCGAAACCATCTACAGTTTCACACAGTTCGTGCCCAGTGCGCACTGCCCAGGTACTGTTCCCTTGCAGCACGCTTTGTTCGTTCCAGCGGGACATACACCTGTAACCATCTGTTAGTCGGTGATTCAATCCAGCGTTAGATGTGAAAGATTAGAGATACATACCAGAAGCGGGCCTAGGAATGCATCGTGCTCCTATCAATTCCATCGGTCCTGTCAAGGGGAAGTATCCGCAGATGTTGCCCCAGACAGTGGGGTTCGTAGACCAGGTGGCTATGTTTGCGCAGCACAAAGGCGTACAGACAGGAGCCGGTGCGGCGACTCGGGACGTGACAGTTGCCAGAGTGGTCAAGGTCGCACTCACGGTATTGATGAGCGGAGAGGTAATAACAAGCGTCGTAGTAGGTGCAGGGGCAACGCTAATCTGAGTCGTTGTGAAAGCGTCGGTTGCCGTGTAGACTGTTTCCGTGGCGGTGGTGAGGGTAGTAGTCTTCGTAAAGATCGCGACTTTGCTGCATGCTGCTGAGATTTTTTCGGGTGCCCAGTTTGAGACGAGGGTTGGGGTCTCCAGCGCTCGCTTCCTTGCAGCGGCTGTGACGGTCTCGGTCACCAGTCTAGTCTCAGTGGCCACGATGATTGTTGTTTCTCCAGAGGAGATGACGGTGCTGGTCACGGTCACGGGAGGTGGTATAGAGGTAGAGGCTTCGGTAATGGTGGTGAGCGCAAGGGTGGAGACTGTAGCGGCGATGTTGGAAGTTTCCACAGGGGGAACGTAGCCGATGTAGCTAGCACAGAAGTCGAGGTTCTCAGGCGTACTCAGCTGGCTCAAGTCGGACGGGCAGATAGGTGCGACAAACGCATCGGTGTTGCTGGCGTAGGAGTAGGAATTCGAGATGGTGTAGTGGTCGTCACCACGCCATTGGCCAGTCTCATCGGCATACGAAGCATCCCAGGCCTGAGTATACAGCGCGCAGATCTGTTCGACTGGCTCTCCGTTCTTCAAACTTAGGTAGGAGTTGAAGAACCGACAGATGGCGCGGCCATTGAGGTGGTCCAGGTTGAATTGCGTCTCCTCTTTGCAGGCTTGAGCGCAGCGTTGTGCATCGAATAGTGAATCAGCAGGAAAAGTCTTGACGTTGATGTAACTGCCTTTGCCATTGCAGTCGTTAGGCGCTCGGATGGCGGCATTGCCTAGAGCAGTGGTGGTGTAACCAGGAATGTCCGTGACCGCCTGTGGTTCGGATACGAGGGCGCGGGCGAAGCCGGCGAGGCCAAGTAGATGCAAGGATGAACGCATTATATAGATTTCGTTTACGAACTATGAGCGATAAATCGATACGACAAACAGAGAAGGAGCGTGAGATAGCTAAGAGATACCCTAACAAGATGTCCTTATATAAAGGTACCGCGCGGTCTGCGCGAGCGCCACGTGAAGGAATACAGCTGAAAAACAGCCATATCTCGTACTCGAACGTAAGGGGTATGCGGCGTAAGTACATCGTGAAGTCTCGTGCCAGCGAATTCGGTTCTAGATGGTCGCGCTATGGGTGCGGCTGAGCAGCCACCAATCCAGCCTCGCTAAATCTGTCCCCAAAAGAGTTAGACACCGCCAGGCCAGACTCTTTATTGTGAGCTAATGCGACACATCCGCATACGAAATGCACTTCATTTCCACTTTGACACCGTAGCAAGGCGAGCACAAGGCTGAGAAGGCCCGAGTATCCCTCTGGAGTGCCGGACAAGGCGATAGAAGAAAACGCCCTGTCCCTTTGGGAAGTTAAATGAGCGCAGTTTGAGTCCCAAAACGACTACTGGGTCATAGACCCTGAGTTCCAAAACGGGTCGCCCTTGTCTAATACGAAAGGCGCTCGTGCACCTCATCTAAGGCGGGGCCTGTCTACCTTAGGCTTCCTCCATATCAGGTCAACCTACCTACCGTCTTGAGTAACCAACCAACCAAGCGTACAAACGTGGCGATGTTGCGCGATCCAACCTGACGTTTCCGCTTGCTCCACCTTCTCGTAGAGCTCCACCTCATAATATACGAGAACATTGACGTCACAGCTATCGCAATCATACCTTATACCACAGTATCATCTCAATGACCAGCCCGAAGCAGGACCAGCCCGCAATCTGAGTCAAAGGTGCACTCTATTTGTTTCGTCACAACCAGCCTATATGCAAGCTCTTGTGGGGGGAAGACAGTACACGTGTTATCGCTTTGGTCGGTGAAATTTCAGCTGTGTTTTATGTAGATTTTCTGCTAAGTTTTGTAATGACCTCGACTTTCTCAATATGACTTTCGAGTCTTCCATGTGCTTGCTTTTGTTCTCTCTCGTCATGTTCTCCATCCGATGTCTCCTCCGTGCACAGGTAGTGGACCTACATCCATGACGAGCTTCTCTATTGTCTCCCTCGATTCCTGAACCCTGTACGTACCGAATCAGAGTTTCTTCAACATCTGTACGTGCTCTTCCCATTCGCCCTTAGACACATCGTGGACCACGTAATTCCCGTAACTTGAAGGCTGTCCTGCAACGATCCTCCAGTTGTCTAACCGGAAACCTTTCTCTGGTTGTGGGCTGATTATCGCATCGATACGAAGATCGACGCCAGAACGTCCCATTGAACGAATGCAGAAGCCCTGGCAGAGACACTCAACGAAATTTGAGATGCATTCCCGATCCCACCCCATACTGCGATGATCCAGTCCGGATGTCGCAACGGTGACTTCGACATCAGCAGAAACAGTGTCGGCTGGGCGTAAACGAGCGATTTCCACAAGATACGAGCTGCAGGTGTAAACGAATTGCCACATGGCGTCGGAAGATCTAGCACCAGCGAGCGCTTCTTCAGGTGAAGTGGTGAGGCAGTAGTGCAAGTTATCCTGGATCCAATTGCCAGCTGTCCAGTCGATGCGAAAACGCACTGGCTCCTTCACCATTTTCTGGAGTTTCTGAGCAATGATAGGTGAAGCTTCTTGATTGATGAGGCGACAGGTTGCCAGGACTGACATCGGCAGTACGCGTCGGTACAGGACAAGTTTACCATTGCCGTTCGAAGAGTCGTCATCTCGTTTCATGCGGAAGTAGGGGGGCTCGTACTTTCTCATGGGGTTGTACTTTTCTTTTCTTGTCGCTACATCGATGGCTTCGTAGACCATGCAGCGCAGCTCAGCCGGGAGATCGAGGAAGCGGAATGGTGGAGCTGACATGGCGACCATACGCGAAACGCTGGAGTGTTGGAGTTGTTGAGAGTGAAGGCAAGTGGAAGATGAGGTGTGTGCGAGTGAGGTCAAATTGGCGTTGGATGAAGAGAGAGAGAGAGTAGGTCGCGATAAAGATTCAAGTATCGGAGCCGCTAACGCGTACGGTGAGTGACGTGTGGGGACGAGCTTCATGGTGAGAGACGATAAGGGAAGGTGCGCCACGTGCTGGAAGCTCAATTCTAGAGTGGCGAATACATGGTTCAAAGTGAGGGTGTCAGTGCTGGGCATCAATATTACCTGCCCAATAACTAGCCAATGTATGCATCCAAGATGCAACACGACTACCCGTCTTTCCCTCAGCGCAAAGCAAGAGCTACAAACTTTTCATATCGAAACAACGACATGCATCCCACTGACATCCACGCAGAACCTAGATATCAGCAACAAAATGGAACCCACCCCACCTATCGCGAAACAGCATACCACCGGGCCTCCCATCCCTACCCTGACTAATCCTCTTCTCCAGCGTCCAATCACCCTCTTTACTAGGATCCCACAGCTCAATAGGACCAACCTCCCTATCCTCAGCATCAACACCATCGCCCGCATGGCTACGCTGTTGCTGGTACCGAACATACTCGCTAAAGCGACTTAACACCAGATCGCCACTGCTGTCACGAACAGGGAGGGCCTGATTGGGATCGGGTGTGAAGCGCGCTGCGAGAGGAGACTCAATGGAGCAGGTACGAGGAGTACCGTGACCAGAGGGAAACCCGAGACGCGCTTCGATGGAACTTGCCTGACTGCGGGGCGTCGAGGCTGTCGCTGTACTGGTGCTACCGCGGTTGCTGGAGGGAAGGACCATACGTGTGCCGCTTTCGCGCATGAAGGCTAGAGTCTCCTCATCAAGACTATCAGGGCGCGGAGGGCGCGGAGGTGGTGGCCCGGGACGCTTTTCGAAGGGTACCGTGACGTGGTCTTCTGGGATGGGTGGACTGCAGAGTTGGGCCATGAGCTGAGGGCGGGATATGGAGACGCTGCGGTTCTGATTCTTAACGAGAGATGCGCGTGATCCGCGTGCTGTAGACAGTGGTGTGAGGACAGAACGGCGTGCTTTGGGGGGAGGGACGTTAGTAGGTATCTGTGGAACGGGCGGAGGCGTTGGTGACTGCGTGGAGTCGTTGTTCTTGCTGCCGCCGAAGAGACGAGAGCCTAGAACAAGAGTCAACACTGATTTGACATTTGCATGAATAGCGGAAAACATGCCTTTTTCTCTAAGCAATGCGAAGTTGGGGCGTGACTTTGATCTAAGCGGCTCTCCACCGCGAGCGTGTTTGTGCTCTGGAGTGGCGGAGAGGCTGCGCGAAGCTGACGGAAGTGCCGGTGAGCTTGTTTGATACTCTTCCTCTTCCAAGTCCTCGTATTCGGGTAGGTTCTCGAAGCTATCGCCGTGCTGTCCTAGGGTGACACGCGTAGCGACTGGGGAGAGTGGCGTGGACGAGTTGGGATTGGAAGGCAGAGTAGGCAGTGGCTTGTTTAGCTTGTCGTTCTTGCGTCCAAAGAATCGCGATGCTGCACATGTTTTTAGTGTGTCTCCGCCTACATGCGGGACAGTGACTTACGCTTTTTCCGCATACCCACGTCCTGAATCCCGGCGTCAAAGTCGATGTCCGAACTGTCGGCGATAGCGGTCTTCTCATCACGACTTGGGCTATCTCTGAAGAAGAGTGACGCTATTTGTTTGTTAACGCTAAGGCTTTTGCGGTTGTGGAGCGAGAGTGAAATCCATCCCGGGCTCAACGCTGCCTATGGGAGAGAATAAGACCCTACCTTTGCTCCGAAGACTCTTCATCCTGACCAGTTGCGGCAGTTGGCGATCGTGACAATTCGATTTTGTGTTAGTACGTAAGGTTGGGCAAGTGTTGCAAAGGTCGCGTGATTGCCTGCAAAGAATAATCAAAGCGATCGAGCGGGGGTGTGATTGGTGGTGCGTAAACAGGCGCGAGAAGACAACAGGAAAATGAACCTGCGCCCACTGGAAGTGCTCACTCAGGGTAGATCGCGACAAGTGCCAAGCAGCACTGGCACGTGCCGCTAGTGACATGGGATAGTGAAAGTGAGAGTTCACTCCCGTGATGAGCCGGAGGCAGGGAGAACCCTCGCTCGCCCAACAGTTAGTATGCCACCCCATGCTCTTGTCTGGGTCATATACTTCTCTTCAAACAGAACAGATGACGTGGAAATCAAAGTCAAGCGAAGAACAATATAGGGAAGCAGCTCACCATCACAAAGTCGTGCCGAACGGAAATCATGTTTGGACATGAAAACTTCGTGCCTCCCGAGGGAGACACTGAAGCCGAGCATCATGCCCTTATATTTTTTTCTTGATTTTTACTTGTGGTTTGTGGTGATGTAGTGATAGTCGAGTTGAGTCGTGCCGGGATCCAGATCATGGACAGCAGAGTTGTCGGAGGAAGCTCACTTCTCATAGCCAGTCGAGACATTCCCTAAAGTGCCGATGCACCAGAACGTGAAACATGGTGCAAGAAAACGCCTGATTTCCAGCTCTTCAAATCCCATGTCCATGCATCCATTCATGAACAGTGACAAAAGAAACGCTTGCGCTGGACCAAAGAACCTGAGACGACATGCCCGTCAATGCTCACTACTTCCACGAAAAAGATGGCCACCAGCCGTTGATAACGCCATAAACTCCAAATGAAGTGACAATACAATCATGAACCATAAACATGGAACAAATAGAAAATCCATATAAACAAGCGAATGTAGTGAGCCCAAACCATGCCCAAACATGGCAGGTCTCGTAGAAACAACGACTACCTGACGCTGGACTCGCCAGTCGGGCTGAGATTGAGCAAGCGTTTGAGATCCTGCTCCAGAGACAACGTATTGGAAGGGGTGGCGGTTTTCATGGGTGAGGCGCCAGCAGTGGCAGCAGGGGCCGAGGTCTTGCGTTGTTTAGCAGCGACTGACGAAGGTACAAACGACATCATGCTGGTAGGGGCCTTCGGAGCAGATGCTGGAGGAGCATCAGCCGCCGTATTTCCGGTTCCACCCATATTGCCTCGTTTCTGGTAAATGTCGGGGCGAGGCTGGTGTGGCTGTCGGCCAGGCGTCTTCCTGCGGTTGTTTGGACTTTGTTGATAGGGTTGTACATGGGGTGCTGATGGACGGGGCCCGTTGGCAAAGCCTCCGTTACCGTTGCCTGGCTGATCTCGGGAAAAGGCGTTGGGGTCCATCATCTGAGTGGGAGGAACAGAAGGAAAGCTCTGGAAGTTGCCCGGTCCGACCATAGGAGACTCAGCCGAGATCTCGGTACGAAGACCAGAGTTGCGTTTCTTTGCAGAATCGCCCTTTGCGGCTTTGAACAAAGGAGAAAGATTACGGTTGCCATAGAAAAATTCAGAGTCTTGGTTCGGTGGTGGTGCCTGCGGTGTGGTGGGTCCAGAGGGGTTTTGGGGAGGGCGACCGTCATGGAAAGGTGATGGTGTCTGACCTATCATGAATCCTTGTGGACCCTGCGCATCCGGTCGAGGCGGTGTTGCCGAGGGCTTCTTCTGTGACATTGAGAGACGATTCAGTAGGTCGTTCATAACATCGTTGCCGTTGCCCTGCTGTTGCATATCCTTGAGCTGTGGAATCTTGGTGGGATCTGTAACGGAGCGATGCGAGGCGGGCGAGGCTGCTGGTGGGGGAGACATGTGTGCGTGCTTGCTTTCCCCGTCAAGCTCTATGGGAAAGACGCCATTCACCGAGTGTGACGAATCATGCTTCAAATGCTGTGGCCTGGAAGTGTCCATTGGGTTGAAAGGTCCGTGGGAGGCTGGGCGTCCATGGTTGCCCTTGGCTCTCTCAGCTGCATCCGCCTTGAAAAGCAGGTCCAATGGAGATTGTTCATTACGAGGAGGAACGGCCACCGGGGCGCGGGAAGGAGAAGCAGAAGGACTTGGAGAAGCAGAATCAGAACTATCTTCGGGCGGAGGTGTTGGTGGACCAGCACGTGTCTTGGCCGGCACAGAACGAGAAAGAAACTTAGGTATAGGCAGAGCAGAAGGAGCCGGAGAAGCATGAAAGGTCGGGCCGGCATAGGCGGCCTGAATCTTGGCCGGCGTAGCAGACGGATTGATCGAAACAGGCTCTGACTCAGAAGGAGAGAAGACGCGGTCGATGGAGGGATGGGACTGGTTAGGCTTCCTCATGTTGCGCGGTCCAGAGGGCATGTGCGCGTCCTCACCTGAGTGGGACGCACCTTCCGCGTGGGCGAGCTCAGCAGGCATCTTACTCGGGGACGCTCCTGCCGCATTGTGTTGGTTCTGGTTGTAGCCATTGTGCGCGCGGTTGCCTCGTGGTTTGCGTTGCGACTGCCGGCCAGCGTTGGTGTGCGCTGCCTGAGCTGGGCTCTGCGGCTTGCCCCGGGGAGCGCGTGGAGAGGCCGTCGTCTGTACTGTCGACATGTGAAGCGTTGTCTGTGGAGTTGTTGTATTGTGATGGGGGTGGGTTATCTGGTAGGGCGCAGGCGGACGCTCTTGGTTCGTGATGAGGTAGTGGGTTGGATGCGCGATGACGCGGTCTGTGTCTTTGTCTGATAAGGTGGGAATGTGCAAGGGTTAGATGTTGAAGTGATCATATCCAGATTCGCGGGGTATAGATAGGCACGCGCCGTTGGGTGAGATAGGGCGAAGAGTGAGGGTGTTGTGAGCAGAGTCGGTCGCATCGACGGTGAACGGCGCGGAGGTGGCTGTGATCCAACGAGGCTGATCTCGGCAAGGCGCACTGACGGTTGCGGCGGCGTAGGGCTGAGAGGTCGGGTTGGGTATGATGGAAGCGGGAGGCTGTCGGGCGCCCGTCTTTGAATCGCGAGGAGCGGTGGCATTTTGGCGTTTGCTCGTCCGGAGGGTATTTGGACGCTTAGCGAAAGAATGTGCATTCCCTTTCACCTGGCACCTCGTCCCAAGGTTGGTACACAGGGCCTGGCCTTGGCATTC